TGCGGCCCCTCCGCCATCTTCCTCCGGGCGGGGGGCCTCGTGGGGGGTCGCTTTAAACACCTCTGCACATTATTATTATTATTATTATGGGCCTCATGGAGGGGGTCGGTTTAAAAATCTCTGCACTTCAATATTATTATTATTATTACTGAAAAACAGTTGCAAAATTGTTCTTTGCAAGCTTCCAGGCACATCCCCCCCTCTTCAGGTGTCGGGAGAGCCTTTTTTGGAGCATGTGGTTCTTAACTTAAGGGCCTGCACCGTGTGTCAGGGGCTGCTTGCACAGAGAAGCCGACTCCCGCGCTCCCGTTTCTGGTTCTTGTTGCCAGTCCTGCTCCAGCCAAAAGCTTTCCACGTTGCACAATGTTGGTAGGACCCTTAGTCCGGCGCTTCCCGTGGTTCGAAGGGCCGCTGTCAGGTAGGTTGGGCCTTGCAAAGTTCGACCGAGTCGACCGCAACCCGAACGAAACGTTAAGAAATCAGAATTGGGTTTTGTTCGGGGATTCGACTCGTTGCCGCGGTTGCGTGCTCGTGACCGCGAATCGCGCTTTCTGTGAAAGTTTTAGAGGAGACTGTTTCTTAATTGCCATACCTTAGTGGCTGCAGCGGTTATCACGCATCTTTGGTACTTGAGTTTGGCACTTAGAGAAATCACTCCTGGATTTAAGACTGTCGTACCACGGATAGTTTATTTAGTGTAATCCCAGGAAAGACCTGGGTTTAATTTCCTATTCTGCTCAAAGCTCATGGTGACAGCAGCAGCAGCAGTTAGATACCAGAAAACTTTGCGGATCGGTGCTTGTCTCTTGGACCTCAGTTACTTATCTACAGAATGGTGCCTTTTTCGCTGTTTCTTTCCTTGCCAAGATTTCAAGGATATATGCCAAAAAAAAAAAAAAATGAAGTGCTCAGATGCTTCGGAGTAGCAGTAAGGGTGGTGGAGAAGGTAATCCGTATCTGGAGAGTATTGGACTTTAGGTAGCAACTGTGGACCTACAGCAGCAGTCAAACATGGTAATACCTGGAACAGGAAGGGGTTTTTTTTATTTTAAACATATTTTTTGATATAGCTGAATGCTGAACCATGTATTAACAGTCACAAAGTTTGTTTAAAGAGTGTGTGTGTGTGTATGTGTGTGTGTGTGTGTGTGAGAGAGAGAGAGAGAGAGAGAGAATTTCTAAATTGTTAGAAAGGAGGATTTCTGAATGTCTCAAAGCCATGGCTGAAATATGGAATGAAAGTGTAACTTTGTATTTGACAGAAGCATGAAATATTCCTAGAAAAAACTGCTTTTTGCAGTTAGTTATATTTTATGTAAATAAATGTGCATGTGGTAAAATTCCTGTTCTATTGGAATGTGTACTGTAATATTTCTTCAAAAATTGAATTTTAAAATTGCAGCGTTGTAAAAAGTCTTCTTTATGTTCATTCGGCTAACTTTTCCTCTTCAGCCTGCTTATATCATCCTGAACCCCTTGTGGGAGAAAAGATGAGCTTAACAGCATGCTCTGACGGCCAAACAAGCAGGTGTCTCTGCGACCAAGAGGAGAGATCAGAATGCATTTTACCACCTTGGGCATCTCACTTAATGTGCTGTGTCGACTACATGCCACCTCTTCTGTCAAGTGCAGGTGATGACACTGTTATCTAGAATGTGTCATTGGCTGTGATTTCAAGGCTGAGGCTAAGCAATGGGTATCAAAACCCTACAAAATCTTTTAAAGTGATAGGTTTCATGGAATATAAAGGAAAGTGTGTCAAGGCTTGGGAAGCAAGATACTTGCTCTTTTTGGTATTGCTAGTAAGGAACTGATGAAATGTGGAAATCATATGGCATAAAGCTATTCCAGATGAGTGTCTTGTAACTCGCTGAAAAATGGAATAAGCTGAACTGCACAAAAAATGTTTGTGAGAGTTCATATAGAAGAGCTGTTGGACTTTAGATTTACACCCTTACACAATTACTGCTCAGAGCACTGCTCGAATTTTTAGCTGAAGAGATGCAACCAGCTTGAAAATTCTCGTCTCTTATTTTTATAATAATCCCTATAATAATTTTAACTGAAAGAGAAATGCGTCTTTTCAGTTTACAATTTGGAGTTGGCAGTATTTCACATACAGATTCCTCATGTACCCTGTGTAGGCAGTCAGGTTTACATTTGTCTCAGAGCATCAGGGTAATGGAAATCTTTAAAAACAGGAAAACTTGATTCCAAAACTTGAAACTTGGTGGGGGGACTGGATGCTGTATACAAGTGAAATGAAGGATTTTATTTAATGGAGAGTGACTTTTTTATTTTGATTTCCCCCCCTCCCCTCCCCCCAGTTCCTCTTAAATACTCTGTTTTCTGTTCTAAAAAAGCTGTAAATCTGATTTGATCAAATATCACTGGTGTTCATTTCACAGTAGAAGATGTCTGCAGAGATTTACCCTGAAACTACTGTCCTAAACTTTTTTTTTAAGCATGTACTCTTATTGGAATTTTGTGTGTGAAAAGAAACTTAATGTACCCATTGAGGATTTTTTTTGTTTGTTTTAAAAAATATTTGCAGGTTGGCTTGGAACAGGATTATAGGATTATTCCTTTAGTGGCAGGATTTGATTTAAAAAGTCAACTTGAAAATACAATAAAATGAAACAAAACGATTAACAAAATCTAACAGCTGTCATAGAGGTGACCAGCAATCATTTCAGCTCTGCTGCAATCTAATTCTTCTTGCCCTATCATCCACCTCCTCCTCCATCCCTTTTTTTAAAAAAGATTTTACTGGCATGAGATTTCTTCCACTTGGTTCTGCTGGCTTCTTCCCTTTCTCCAGTACAGATTTAATGGAATTTAAAATTGAACCCACCAATGAGATGGTAATTCCTATGGGTGCCAAGTTGCAGTTTCTTTCTGAGGTCAGCCAAGGAATTCCTCCAGAATTGTCTATCAGGTATATGAAGCAGCTTGGAAAACTCCCAGCCGGTGTGTAATCCAGAGCTTGGGTGTGTCTGTCCTTTTTGAGTTGTGTCACTTATTAAAATTAAAAATGAATCATTAAATTTAAGACCCATGCCTACTCTTTGTAAAAAGGTAAGCATTTTTTAAAAATATATCATTATCTTCACTATTCTCTCGCTAATAATTTTTCTCAAACGTGAACTGCAGAATTCTTGGGAATTGACTTAGAAATGTTTACAAGTCAAAGTCAAGGATTCAGAATCTGCCAAATTAAGACCACTTTACTTCACGTGCAAAACACATGCATAATTTCATACAATCAGGAGACATTTCAAAGGTCACATAATTCCCCTTGCAGCAGTCACATTATTTCATAATACTATGCTAAAGGTTGGTCCTTTTTTTATTATTTGTACACAATGAGCTGATTATGCAATTCAGATATAAATTTAGTCCTTAGTACAACACAGCTTCCGATATCTTAATGTCAGTGGACATGAAATAAATTTGGATCATTTACTTTTTGAATTATTGAGAATTTTTCATCAATGTGATGCACATTTGGAAGGTGGCATACCGTATTTGTATAACTGAGTTTTCGATATTTAGAGCTGAATTGAAGCACTGTTTGACTTAATGTTGAAAGGTTTGATTAATCAGCTATTTTATTTCATCGGTGCTTGTCTGGAGCACTATGGCATCCAGATTAAGAGGAGTGATTTTTTTTTTTTTTTTTTTTTTAAATGTGCTCTTGACAGTTGCTAATGCACTTTCTTTTGGGAAGAGTGTTTGTTGAATGTGTGCTTATAAAAAAAAAACCCAAAAAAACATTGAATGGCTCCAGGTAAAGCATTAGGTTAAAGCATAGAGTAACTACTCTTGTGTTGTGATTTATATTTTGGACATAGGTGTTGAGGACCTGGCCTGGCCTGGCCTGTCCTGCTAAGTTTTGCCAGCATAGCTATGTCTGTTTAAAGGCATGAAAAGATCACAACTCCTAACTGCTGGCTACAAAGGACCAACTCACAGGATCATCATAAAATTCTCGTTTATTAGACGAATGCCAAAGCCAGATCATAAACCTTGGGGCTGATCCCCTCAAACACACACACATTCATGCACATACACATACACACAGTAGCTAGCTGTGAACACTAAGCACCGGTGTCAAGATATACCTATTCAGAAGGGGGTCAAGCCGCTTGTCCTTCTGGCTAGGGAGGCAGGGTGCTGGTCAGGTCAAAAAGGGCACCATTGGGGGTCATTCTTTGCTACCTTTTATCCCTTTCTGGCAGACTTTGGTGACTCCCCAATTTTTGGGCTTACCCAATCCAGGGGTCATTGACCTCGTGAGACGTCCCCCTTGGTGGTTGCTGGATGGCAGCCGTCAGCCCCAGGGGTCACGTCCACAGGTACGTGCGGGCTCAGGAGTCTGTTGATGAAGTTCGATTAATTCACTGCTGTGATGAATAGGGCTCTGGGGGCAGTTGATTGGGGGGGGGGGGCTATTCAGTCCCAAGAGTTGGTCTTTGATGTTGATTAGTTCAAACCAGGGCTTCTGTACCTTTAACAGTGAAGTTTCAGGGAGTTCCTGGCTCTGTATTGATCCTTTCCTCTCAGTCTAGTTTCCTAGGTGTTAATTGATGCTGGATAACTTGTTATTCTGTGTAGCTACTGCATTACTCAATCAACCAAGATTCAGTCAGGGATCCACTCCATACAGAGAAGCCATGGTTGGATTCCCCGCTCTTGCTAACATTGTTTGTTACAAAGTTAAAAAGCATAGACTATAAAACATAAAAGGGTGAAATGCCATGGCACATGCAACAAATAGGCCAACTACAATGGTGGGGGGGGCATGCAGATGCAGAATACTATTTTATACCCATAAAAGCATCTACAAACTACATTTTTATTACAAATACATCTTATATTCTATAAAAATAATAATAATACAATAAAAGAAGAAGAAGGAGGAAGGAAGAAAAGGTAGAAAAGAGAAACCATCCCCAAAAGGGGGCAAATACTGCAAAAGGGGCTTTTTGCCCTATGGAGGGGCTTCACATTGGAGTGGGGGGCAGGCAAAAAAAAAAAAAAGGTTTCTTGCTATATAATCAACATAGCTATACTGGCAAAAGTCTATGTGCATGGGCACAGCTGTACCAACAGAAGAAGGCTTTTATTGGCAGAGCTTATGCACTCCAGGGGAGGTGGTGTAGCTACGTCAGCAGAAAAAACCCATCTGTCAGCATGTCCTGTGTCTTTGTTGGAGGGCTCTTGTCAACACAGATGCACCAGGCTAGCTGGAGTGACAGAGGGTCTGTAGCGTAGGTAAGTACTAGCCCTGATGTTAACTGAGTAGTACAGCAAAACTTGTGTTAACCGGCATTTCTATTAACCGGGATTTCCAGCTGGCCGAATGCAGGGAAAGGGGGGCTCGCACGTGGTGGCCGCCACCACCACCACCCTGCGCTACCGCTGCTCTGCATCCAGCCAAAAACCCCTGTCTCAGGTAACTGGGATTTTTATATAACCGGCGTGCCGTGTTCCCCACTTGTGCTAGCTAACACAGCTTTTGCTGTACTCCCTGTTGATTGTAATGCCATTGGGAATCTTTACTGCACAGTTGTGTTGCATCCGCCCTCGTGCCTGTATTTTATCAGGCTCTAGTAACTTTTCCATAGTAACGTGGTGTGTGGATGTGTACATACTCGGGATGTTTTTTGGATATTACTTATTCTGCAATTCAGACGTCCTTTACACATGAACTTTTTATTGACTTTAACTGTTAAGCTTAATGGAAATCCTAGTGTTCGTCACTGCAAGACCTTGAATTCAATTTGATTTCAGCTTTTATTCTTCTGGCATATAGTTGTGTTTCTACCACAGAAGGAACTCAAGAATGAATCATATTATAAAAAAAATTGAAATACATGTAACCCTTTGATTCCTAAGAGAGTAATCTATTTCTTCAAAGTTCACTTTATTGTCATGAAGGGGTTGAGGAAGTCAGGGAATGGTGTTGTCATCCTACAAATACTAGTAAAACTGATTTTTCTTTCTTTAATTTTCCCCAACAGTGGGTGATGAATACAGTAGTAATGAGTATTTTATCTGTGTTCTATTATATCATGAAACAAACTGATCATAGGTAATATGTTGCGTATGTGTGTTCAGCATTTTGAGTGGGAAGCAAAACAATTTGTCCTTAAAGGATTGGTTTCATTTCCAGGTATTACTTGCGGTCGCAGTCGTCTCCCTGTTTTAAGAAGACTTGGAGCCTTTGAAACGCGTTCTTTAAGAAGAGTTCCCTTTAGATGTTTTTCTGAAACACCAGCATACTTTGCTTCAAAGGATGGTGAAAGCAAAGATGGCTCTGGGGACGGCAATAAGGTATCGGATATTCACTGTCTACTCTTGTATTTTAAGGAGCCCTCATCTGAAAGCCTGCACTCCTTTCTGGGCTGTTTACTGACTGTTGTTCCAAGTCACCTGTCAGATCACTAAAGCTGCAAAAATATTTTCATATAATTTCCTGTTGAATGTGTATATGTTTTGTTGTTAGATTCCTTGTTTGCATGGGTCTTTCACACAGCAAAAAGGAAATTAAACAGTTTTGAAAATGTAGCAAGACATGATTATACAACCACAGCAATACACTGAAGGCTCAGGTGGTAGCACAGGAATTTTTCAACTCATCTTTTTTTTACAATTGACAGACTTCCTTAACGACAGTTTCCCTCTAAACCAAATATTTTATGGTTTTTCCCTTATTTCAACAGTAACATGTTGCAGGTATGTTAATCAGTAATGTTTTGTGAAAAGATTAATTTTATTTTTACCGTCTGTTTAACTGCTACTTTCATTACATATTTAGTCTTTTTTAAGAGAAAAACAACAACAACAAACCCAACAACCCGCCCCCCTTTCTTTTACTAGCAATTAATAAGCAACATTTTCAAGTGAATGATTACCCAGTGTAAGTTTGCTCTTAACTCCACACACAGAAGTTTGGCAGGTACTTCAATAAATTGTTGTTAGAGTGGCTTTTCCTAGGTCTGAACGTCTAACTGGAGGGCATGCACAAGTGTCTCACTTGTTCTATAGAAGCACATATTTCTTTCTTTCTTCCCCACTTTTTTTTGTTTTTGTTTACATTATAAGTAGGCTGACCATATGGAAATCCCGGACATCCACACCGCTCTGTCTGACTCCCAGCCAGACTGCACTCCGCACCTCTGCATTTCTGGGATGCCCATTTTTATTTCCCAACAGCTGGCCAGGACAAGCCTCTGAAATCCGGGAGTGTCTCAACTGAAATGTATGGCCACCCTACTTATGAGTCACCTCTCAGAAAAACTGGTGGCAGAGTCCCCATGTACACTATGTAATTATTGGGTAAAAAGCTTTGCTGCTGTCAGAATTGCACCACCTCACTGAATGGCAGAACTTGTCTTTACACGTGGGGTTTTGCCAGCGTAGCTCCATTAGTTTCAGGGAGCTATATTTCTACACTCCTGTTCAACATAGTTCTGCTGGTGGAACTCTGTAACATAGCTAAAGATTATGTTTCTTGCTATTAGATTGGAAGCATAGCTGTGTAATGGATATGGGAACTGTATATACGAGTTTGCAGAAAGGCAGAAATACACTTTGAGGTATAACTTGCTCCATTTATTTCAGCAACTGCTAACTTGGGTGTTGGTGATAATATGTTAACATCAATATTGCTTTTACTCCGTAAAGCTTTTAAAAGGGAGAGGTATTATCTTCAGTGTTGCTTGTGGAATGTGGTCTGATGGCCCAGCCCAGCGATGGAGGAATGGAAGAGGTGTAGGTTGAGCTATTTAGGTCTCTTACAACATATAGTGGAATTGCAAGGGGTGTGACTGACTGATTCTATTTTGCTGCATTAAAAGAACTTAAGTTTACCAAAGGAACTACTGATGTTGGGTGCCCAATATGACACACTTTTTGGAAGAGCCTGTTCTGGCGGTCATGTCTAAACTGCAGCCCTCTGCCAATATAACTGTGTCTTCATGGTGGATATCTGCTGGCATAGCTCTATTAATCACAGGTCATGCAACATGATCATCACAGGTATACTGACAAAGTGCCGTTTTACCAGGGCGGCTCATTTTGTTTGGGGGGTGTGTGTGTGTGTGTGTGTGTGTGTGAATAAGCTATGTTATTATAAGCTGTATCCACATTGGGTCTTATCTTGTCTGTATTGCAGCTTTATGCTGGCTGAACTATTTGGCTAGATGTGCAAAAAGCTCACTCTCCATAGCTGACACTGCTCTCTTGACAAAAGCTTTGGTGTGGTGTGGGTGCAGCATGGCTGACAGGCATTCGGGGAGGCTGGCCTAGCTCTTGGGCAGAAAAATTCCTGTTGGCAGAACTACGTTTGGGCCATGAGGCCCAGGCATTCCT